AGGGGAGAAGGGATAAGATGAGGAACGGCAGGAGGAAGAGCATATGACCGGCCTCGCCTAAGTGAAGTAATGCTATTTGTTCGTCGCCTCTCTGGGCGCTCAGGCGCCTTGCAGTATAGGCTCGGTGGCGGGCGCTTTCTGGCCATGCCGCTCGGGCAACGTAATGCGATGAGATTTTGACCTGTATGTTCGTTTCGAACGTGCGTTTGAGGACACGTCGTACTACTCTTTGCTTCCGCGCTTCATCTGGTTATGCTGCTATCGTGCGATTGGTGTGATGATGGCGATCGCTATGCTTATGACTGATGATGGTGGTGGGAGGCGGATGATGGCGAGCTGTGATGGGGGATCATGATAGTCATGACTGGGTGTAGTACTGATGCGATCGTATTCAGATTCTTTATGCGTGTATGATGCACCGTGTAGCGCAGCATGCATGTCAGAACACGCTCCCGATCCGTGTGGGCTTCGTCCTCAGTTCACTTACAGGACACAAGCCATACCGTTCCATCGTCCTATTAGTGGCACTCGTACTAGTTGTCGTACTCGTAGTCCTAGTCGCAGTTGTCTGGTGATGGGGAGGAGCTGGAGGAGGCAAAATAGGAGGACGATGAAGATGAGGAGGTGGAAGAGGAAAACGACGAGGCGAATGTGCAGGAGGGGAAATGGTGGGAGAGGTTTGGAGGATATCCTCATCACCACCCACACGTGCACCCCGGCCTGCCAGTGAGAGAAGGACAGTGGGCGAGTGTCCAGGACCTCAATCCCCGATTCTCGATCCAGCACTAAGACAAGCGATGCTGTCGTGATGGCCCACAGGTCATCATAGGCCTCCTACTGGGTCGGTTGTAGCAGGGGAAGCGTGGTAGGATGGCAGGTTCAAGGATGCCGCGGAACTCAGAGGGTGTGTAGAAGAGGGCCTTGGTCGACCGGCGGCGCAGTTGAGCGCGAGCGAGGAGGGAAGGCAGGAGCCCGAGACGCCGCGGAGTCTAGGGGTTGTCTGCGGTAGGTCCGCATCGAGGCGACGTGGTGGCGACACCGCCGCGGGTGTTCAAGGTGGAACGCCACCAGACTCAGAGTCAGCTAGCTTGGAACGATCTGGCGATCTCAAAGCCGCAGGTCGTTGTAAGGTTGAACGATCCACACGGTGTCAAAAGCCATCGCCTGAGTCCGTCACGACCCGAGCCCGCTGCAGCGGAGGACGCTGGTCGAGCAGCATGGGGAGTACATCCCCGAGGAGGTCATCACGAGGATGCTATTTTTTTGCGCTCCCAGTGCCGCTCGCTCCGCCGCTGATGCCTCTGCATCTGTTCGCTCCCCGTCATCGCCTGGGATTTTCATCCTGCGACGACGGATCGGCTGGAATCGACTTGGAATCGGTGATACATCGCCGATCTATCGGCGTTAGGCTCTCTACAGCGAAACCGCACGTTCCTGGGAGGGTTGGCCTATCGGGCCCCTCACCGGCGATGAATGGTCGATTGCCAGTCGATGCGTTCCCTCCCTAAGACTGGAATCGAAGGTCGAGGCCAGTGATCTCTGTGGGGGGAGGCCTCCAGAGAGCTCCAGGGACCTCCAGGGGCCTCTCTGGGCGCTCCCGCGCACACAGCCCTCAGGTGATTCTCATGGGCTGCAGGAGCGCACTCTTCGTGGCCATCTCGGCCGCCCTCTCTCGTTTGCCACCTCGGCTCAGGCGTTTCGGGGGGATGGAGGCTCATCAGCAGGAGTTGGACCACGTGCTCGGTGGGCTGCACGACCTGCACGATGACCGGAGCGTGATGCGCACCACCTTCCAGGCGCTCTACGACGTCGCCCACGCTCAGAGTCACGCCGTCCGAGAGGTGGAGCGCAAGCTGGAGGAGGCTTGGCGGGCGAGGAACGTTGTACCGAGTAATTCGCCAGGGACCACTCACCAGGTGTTAGGTTTATCAACACCTAGCACCCTGTTCGTGCATCAGAACAACATGATTCATGTACATGGACCCAGCACCCTGTTAGTACGCCCTTGGGCACGCCAGTCCCAAGGCGATCGGAGCGTGTATGCCCCGAAGTGCCGCCGTGAGGACATACTTCTTGCCAGCCGTCCTGGGGCAGGCGCCTCCCACAGCGCAGCAGTCTGTTTCATTTCTCGCTCCCCGCCCGCGGAGAGGTGCACGACGCGCTCGTGGCGGCGCTGAACAAGAAGGCCGACGCCGTGGAGCTCCGCTCGGCGGTCGCCCTGGCGAACGAGGCGCGCGCCGCCGCGGACCTGGTCGCCCAGCGCGTCGAGGAGGAGGCTCGAAGGAGAAGCAGCGACACGAGCGTCAGCTTCCCGAGGTCCGCGCGGGTTTCTCGGATCGGCGCTGGATCCCCCCGCGGCGTCTCCGGCGTCGCACCTGTCGTGCTCCGCGCGCCAGGGGAGGGAGGTCCAGCCAGGATCCAAGACCTCCGCGCGGACCTCGAAGAAGGAAAAGCGTGTAAACACACATTTCTGGACGTTTGCGCGGCTTTCTTGGCTAGGGGTTGGGCACCCTTGGCGGCGCGTCTGGCGCCGCACGCGTCGCACTCCGTGCGCCAGGGAGGGAGGTCCAGCGCGGATCCAAGAAATCCGCGCGGACTGTCGAGAGCTTTTGTTTACGCAGATTTCCTCCTCCGCTGGAGGCGCAGTGCACCCTGGACGCCCAGAAGTCCGCCGCGGAGGACGTGCATGCGCTGCGCTACGGCCTGAGCGACCTTCGCGCGGCCGTGGAGAGGCGCACGGCCTTCCTTTCGCTGCCCCGCCGAGGGCCGTGGGCGGGATCGGTAGCAGTAAGTCTTGACGCTTCGCGTATCCCCACCACTGCTAGGCTGCACGTGCCCGAGCTTCCCTGGATGCCCTCAGCCCGTCAGTTTTCCCGCGCAGCCCCGCTGCTGCTTGGTGAATGGGCCGTCCGGCCTGCGGCGCGTTCAGTAGCTAATTAGGCCGTTACCGTGTCCCGGAACGCTTCTGACTCCGCCTGCGCTTCCGCTCGCGGACGCGACCGAAAAAAACGTATCCCCACCAGCACCGTACCCCCTTTGGCTCAAGTCATCTCGGCCCAAGCCCGCCCCTGGCTCAGGTGCGCGCTCGGGCCGGAGCCATGTCCACTCACGGCGCGGTCCTCTCCGGGGTCGCTCTGCGCCGCCGCTAGCGGCTGGCGGCGGCGCGGCGGGACGCCCCGCTGGGGCGCCCCTCCGCGCCGCCGCCGCCGTCGGAGGCGGCCTGCCGCCGGCCTGGCACGGCCCCCGCAGGCGCTGGGCCGCTGCCGCCCTGGCTGGCGGCGGTTTCCGCTGCCGCTGCTGCCGCCGCCGCTGCCGCCGCCGCCGCTGCTGGCGCCGCCGCCGGCCCCCCTCTGGCGGCGGCGGCGGCCAGCGGCGCCGTGGCCGGCGTGACGGCCGCTGTCGCGGCGGCCGCTGCTGCCGCCGCTGCCGCCGCTGCTGCCAGCTCCTCGCCGGCGGCGGCAGCGGCGGTTAGCGCGGTGGCCGGCGCCGCCGCGGCGGCGCGAGGCCTGCTCGACGGCCTGCCACCCGGCCAGCCTCCTGGCCGGCTTCCCGGCCAGCCTCCCGGCCAGCCTCCCAGCAGCCTCCTGGCCAGCCCGACTGCCAGCCCCTCGGCCAGCCTGGCGGCCTGCCCCCCGTGCTGCCCGACTGCCAGCCTCGCGGCCTGCCTGGATGCCAGCCCCACGGCCCGCCTGACGGCCAGCCCGTTGGCCCGCCCCGTCGGCCAGCCCGACTGCCAGCCCCACGGTCAGCCCCGCGGCCAGCCCGTCGGCCCGCCCGACTGCCAGTCCTGCGGCCATTCCCACGGCCAGCCCGGCCAGCCCAGCCAGCCCCGCGGCCAGCCGGACGGCCAGCCCGGCGGCCAGCCCCGGGGCCAGCCCGACAGCCAGCTCCGCGGGCAGCCCCACGGCCAGCCCGACGGCCAGCCCGGCTGCCAGCCCCACGTCCAGCTCCGCGGCCAACCGGACTGCCAGCCCCACGGCCTGCCCGACGGCCACGAGCCGGACGGCCAGCCCGACGGCCAGCCCCGGGGCCAGCCCGACTGCCAGCCCCGCGGCCAGCCCTGCGGCCAGACCCAGGGCAAGCCCGACTGCCAGCCTCACGGCCAGCACTACGGCCAACCGGATTGCCAGCCCCACGGCCAGCCTGACGGCCAGCCCGACTGCCAGCCCCACGGCCGGTCCCGCGGCCAGCCCGACTTCCAGCCCCACGACCAGCCCCACGGCCTTCCCCACGACCAGGCCTACGGCCAGTCCCGCGGCCAGCAACCCCGCGACCAGCCTCACTGCCAGCCCCACAGCCGGCCCGACCGACAGCCCCTCGGTCAGCCCGACTGCCAGCCCCACGACCAGCCCCCCAGCCTGCCCCACGGCCAACCCGACTGCCAGCCCCGCGACCAGTCCGACGGCCAGCCCGACCGCCAGCACAACGGCCTGCCCAACGGCCAGCCCGACAGCCAGCCCCGCGGCTAGTCTCATGGCCAGCTCCACGACCAGCCCCATGACCAGTCTGACGCCTCACCCGACACCGCTCCCGACGCCCAACCTGGCGCCCTACCCAACACTCTACCTGAGGCCTTGCCCGACGCCCAATCCCACGGCCAGCTCCTCGGCCAGCTCGACGGCCAACCCGACGGCCTGCCCGACAGTGAAGCCACCCTCCAGACGGCACTGGGGAGTTCCACCGCGCCCACGCGTCAGCCTTATACTGACGAGCGGGACAACGAAGCCATCCAACAGCTGGTTTCGAGGAGCCCTTCCGCCCCTATTCGTCCTTCCTCCCCTGCCAGCGACTGGATACGGGCGGGCGCCTTTACGAGCAGGCACGGGGCAACCCTTGCATCCCTGCAAAGCGCGCCAGACCCCCCCTTTCGGGTGGGGACACGAGCTCGACCGCCGAGACGGGCCGGCAGCCCAACTGGGGGGCATCCTTGACGCGTCGGACGGGAAGTGGGTGGACGCCCAGGCTGTTCGCCGCTTCTCCCTTTTTTTTTTTTTTCCCTCCTCCTCCTCCTCCTCCTCCTCCTCCTCCTCGTGGGGATGCCGCAGGCCGCCGACAAATGACCGTGGGGAGAGGAGCCGTCCTGCTGCAGCGGTGCTGCGGTGCTGCCCGCCGGGGGGGCCAAGGGAGGCCGGCTCTGCTCGGGCTTTCCTCGCAGACGCGGCCGGGGGGGCGCCGCCCAGGCCTTGCCTTGCGTCGGGCCTGTCCTCGTACAGGGGGATTTTCGACGAAAACTCAAACATACCCCAACACAAAATTAAAACATAATCCAAACATAGTCCGGGGACTATGTTTGAGTTTGTTATTGTTGTTGTTGTTGTTGTTGTTGTTGTTGTTGTTGTTGTTGTTGTTGTTGTTGTTGAACATTATTTCTTCTTAAGAATAATTATTGTTGGGGCCCCTGGTGCGCGACCCCCCCGCCGCGCCTAGGCCGCAGCCTCATTTTCATCATTTTCGTGAGGAAGTCTCAGGTAAAACGATGTCATCCAGATCCGGTTGTTTTGTTACGCCCGTTTTCCCTTGCAAAAAACACTATAAAATGACATTTCTTGTTCTAACATATAAAACTTCAAGAATCCCTTGCAAAAAATAAGGTAAAGTGGACATTCGCGCGCGCAAGACGAAATCCTTCCAAAACCTTAGTGTTTCGTAGCGATTTTAACATAAAAACATCAAAAAACCAATGGTTTTTCAAAAAAAAATTGTCAAAATTTCATCCCGCGCGCTCTTGCGGATTCGTAGGAAACCCAACACTTTTTAAACATTTCTGTCAAACGGGCTTTTGCGAGCAACTTTTTCGAACTTCTGCAACAACGGTTGCGCACCTGCCAGGGCCATCATCCCTGTCAAATAATACCATGCGGGACACATTCGTTTTTTCTTCGCGCGCGCACGCCGTCGTCGTCGGCCGCGGGGCCCTGAATAGTAGCCACGGTCGTCCGCATGCCACGAAGTGAAGTGTCCGAACGTCATAGGGCGGGAAGCTGGGTGTGGGTGGTGGCGAAGAGTCGTTTGGAAATTTGGTAGAGCTTGAACCGGCCCCCCCACAAAGTGGGGGTATTGCCCGCCTCCTATGAAAACCCTGGCACTGGTGAGAACGGAGTGTCCCCAGTCTTAAATGATTGTTGTTGTTGTTGTTGTTGTTGTTGTGGTGTATTTTTTCGTCGACAATCCCCCTGTAGGTGGACACGCCCGACATAAGCCTTGCCTTGGCCCTCCTGTGTGTGTGTGTGTGTGTGTGTGGGCGCGGCGCGGGGGTCCTGCCCGGCTGCCCCCCCTGCGCCGATCCGCTGTGCACGGGGCCGTTCTGCCATTATCGCAGAGCTCGGGGGCGGCCAAGAGTCGGGCCAGACGAAAGGGGGGGATTGGGAAAGGGGGGGTTACGCAATTTGCTGCATGCAGCTGGTTTCGGCCCCACCGAGGGGCCCATTCCTCGATACTTAGCCGCCTCTGGCGCCAGGAGGCGCCGGGGAAATCAGCTACGTTAGCTGATTCTCACCCCCCCCCCTTTGCTATCCCTCCCTTTCGCCCGACCCGAAAGAGGGGGGTGTCATGACTACCCATCGGTCGTTGAAAGCAGGCATTTCTGGGTTTCCAGATTCCAATGAATTCTGGGCGCCTTTCTACCTCAATGATCGAGTGGCTTCCCCTCTTCCGTCCCGGGGCTGGCGGACACACAACCTACTTTCAACGCCTTCCTACTTCATGTTTCTACCTATTTGTTCCGACCGATGGATAGGAGGTTTGGATGTCATGGCGGGGGCTGTGGTATCTCCCCAGATCTCATGGCACCTCTTTCTTATTTCCACGCGTCCCTGGCCACCCTGGGCCGCGCACACGCCGCTGGCCATGCTTTGCGACCCCACCCCCCTCCTGGACGCCCCCCCTCCTGGCCGCCCCCGAGCTGTGAGCGGGGTCATGGCGCCAACATCGCAGGGCTCGTTTCGATTCCTCCGATTCGATTCGATTCGACTTCGATGGCTTCCGATTCCGATTCGATTCGACTTCGGACTCCGATTTGGGTTCCGATTTCGTTTTGGAGGCATACTAGCCTGCCGATTTCCGCCGATTCGAGTTTTCCCGACTCGGCTGCCGATTTCCGTCAATCTGATTCATTTCGATCGCCGATCCGACATCGATTCGATTCTGGGCTCTCCTGGGGTCATGGCGCCAACATTGCAGAGCGGATTTCGTTTAGAACACGATCGGATGGGCCCAGACTGTCCTGGATAATTTCGTTTCAGATATATTCTGGGCCAGGAATGAAGGCTACAGAAAATCCGCGTGAAGGTCATTTCTTTTTTTGCTTGCCGTTTTGGTGCTTCGCATGGACAGAAAGCCACGCGCAAATCCGCTACAGCACGTCTGCAAGGTCGGTGCAGTGAAGCGGGGCGGTGGTGGAGCACGGCGGGGAGTTGGGAGGAAGACCGATGATGGTTGCAGGCCCTTGGGATCCGCTCATCCTGCTCCTCCTCCCCCCCCTCCTCCTCCTCCTCCTCCTCCTCCTCCTCCTCCTCCTCCTCCTCCTCCTGGGACGCCATGTTTGAGGCAGCACCTGCAACTGCAGCTGGCATATGCTGAGCAGATGCCGTTTTAGGCAGGCGTCAGCTCTGCGCCCACTGGGCACAAAAAGGGTCCTGAGGGAAAGGGGGTGCCGAGGCTTTTCGCTGCTTCCGGGGCCTCTGGGCCCTCCGCGGGCCCCGGGGCTGCCCCAGAACACCGCTCGGGAGGAAGT